TTTTATATTGTTTGAGACTCCAAAGAATTTAGAGAGTACAGATTAAATTGATTGAAGATTTTGTATAATACACACACTGTGTGTCAATTTTCAAAAAAATTAATATTTTTACATCTAGAATATATTATTCTGCACACATATATTGTTTACCCAAGATCGATACTTCTTTTGTATTTAAAATTCTTCACAATGCCGGAAGTTATCCATGTTTTCGCGTAAGGTTCTCCAACATTAGTCAATTGACACATAATATTTCCAACCGCTTTATGCATTGCTTCGGTTTGAAATATGACGTATTTCTCTTTTTTGGAAAAACATGCTTTTTTATGCATATACTCATATGTTGATGCTAACATCAAGCGTTCCATCTGTTTTGCTTGTAAAAATGGATCCTCATTAATCTATAATATTTAATCAACATTTTTCAAACATTTAAGTTTTATACACAAAAAATTATAAATGTATAAAGAATCTACATAAATTATGTTCTTTACAAAAATTATAATTTCTTCTTGAATTGTGTCTTGAACATCATTCTCTAATTTTTATACAGTTTTATATATTTTTTTATCTAAGGAATAATAAATTATAGTTTTAATAAGTATACCTTAAATATAGCTTCTGCGGCTGAATCCTTCAGACCAATAATGTTGTATTTAGTATCAGTTACCAAGGTAGTGAAACTATCAAATGGTGGCACGAAAATACTTTTAGATAGATGTATAAATAACACAGCACCAAATGACATGTATATTATAGAACAAAACAATCCTAATGATACTTCTAATATTCTCGATTTTCCATCAAGATACTGGGGAATATAGCCTGTTGCAATTATCCAAATTAATGATTTTTGACTTAATCATAACTTTTTATTATTATTAACATAATTTTTTTATATCATTATTTTTTATGTTATTTTTTTAATGATTATTATCTAAATATTGTAATTTCTATTTATTACATATTTTAAAATTAAAAAATTATAAAGTATTGAAGAATTAATTTCCAAATTATGCTACTTCTAACTCTAAAAATCAAATATTTTAATATTATATAATGTCAAATAATTGCAATTTTATTTTAACGCGATATTTAGATTCATCTCAATGCAAATCTCAAGCAATTTCTAACAAAAATGAGCAATATTTTTATCAGTTATTTACACACATTTATTTTTACACACACCTTGATTGCACAGGTTTCCAAAGTTATAAAATAAATGTTCGCTGAGAGATATATTTTTACGTTTATCTTCATTCTGTATGAGAATACTTTGTGTCAAAAAGGTGCATAGACTCAGTAGTAGACACATACTCAATATAACACACCATATTTTCCAAGAGAAAATTTTTATCATCCATATATTATCATATATGGTTTCACGGTGAATATATAATTGAATTCTACAAAATTATTTTTAAATTATGACAATCTTATCGATCATATAACTTAATTGTTATTATTAGCTACTACAACAGTTGCAGTTTGAATAAATGTTAAATCAGATAAACACTTAAGAAGCTTAATAAATTAAGCTGACCTATTTATCCAAAAAGGTATTGAAAATTCGGTAGCCATGAGTTCCGGTGAAAAGTTTTGTAGTTTTGCTATTGCAATAGTTTCATTGCGAAAAATAATAGGTAATAATCCATTTTTTAAAGACAAGGCTTCTTTTTGTGGCACACCCTGGTCATCTAAGTTTGCTTTCACTAGCTGTAGTCTAAAAATATGAAATATTTTTTCGTTACTTTATATTATTAATTATGTTGAAGTTTAATCTCACAATGCATTTTGTTCTTGCGATGTGATACATGATATATTCTTACGTAAAATTCAGCGATTCGGAAAGTAGATTCCATATTTCCCCACAGAATCCTGTGATCTTCATATTATTGTCGTAAAAGTGAACCAAGTACTGCTCCTGAAATGTATAATTAATAAAGATTATATTATTCATCAATTTATAATTCTTGTGATATCGTTATTTAAATATCTATTTTCAAATATGAAAATGGATATTCTTCATAGCATCATTATTTATAAAAATGAATAACAGAAGGGCTAAGAACCAAATTTTTCGTATATTTCAATTCTTAAAAACACATACGTTTCAACTTATTTGTCAGATCATCTTCAGTGTATACATGTCGATAAATTAACGCAAATTTAATAAAAATCATAAAACGATTAAATACATTATAGTTACGCAAAGTGGTGGACCTATTTCTTCATATTTATTTTTAGTCGCAACAATGCAATACTTTCAGTCTTGTCATCTTCGTAGTTAGATTCTTCTATTATGCAATTCGTCCGTAATGATAATAAAATTGCGACCGATGTAATAGTTAAGAATCTAATTACGAAGATGACAAGACTGAAAGTATTTCATATACAAACGTTCCATATATGAAAAATTTGGTTCTTAGCCTTTCTGTTATTCATTTATTTATTATTATTGAGCCATTATAAGTTTATCTTTATTTATATTATTACTTCTGACGAAAATAAAAAATGATCGGAGCATAAGTCTATCATAGGAGGAGAATAACAGAAGCATAAAATAAATTTACTAAACAAAAATTTAAACAACGAAATATAAAAAAAGGCATTTCTTTTATATTTCATTGTTTCAATTTTTGCCTCTTAACAAAAGTTTTGTTTATACTTCTGTTACTCTTCTTTTACGCTTCGATTTTTATTTTTATCAGGGTTCACATACATATTTATAATCTTTGAGAGAGAAAGAGAGAGAGAGAGAGAGAGAGAGAGAGAGAGAGAGAGAGAGAGAGAGAGAGAGAGAGAGAGAGAGAGAGAGAGAGAGAGAGAGAGAGAGAAGAATTGTAATTAAAAATAGAAACTATAAAAAAATTAAAATAATACTATAATTTTTTTATTAATTGTTTATATTATCTGTTCATGTTTGAATATGATACTAAATATTTTTTTCATAGATTTTATCAATCTCATTTTTTAATACTTACATAGAAAGAATATCTATATTAGATATTTTCAGAACATACCTGAAAAGATGCTAATGTCAAGTTTTGTAATTGAAAATTGTGGCATTCGAGTGCTCGACTCTGTCTGAGGCGTTCTTTTTGTATCGTGGCATACATGGGCACACTAGAAATTGGCACGAAAGTCTTTTGAGTCTTACTCCAAATCACACTGTTCATTGTCTCTAACAATGACAAAATTATAATGTAGCCATGAGTAATAGTCAACTTATATAAACTTAATGTGCTGTTTTAATACCTTACATAGAGTAACAGAATTATTACTTTATAGTGAATAACCTGATTAAAAATTTTTATTTGTGATTTATACTGAAGGCAAAGTAGAAATAGCTTATCATGATTGGATTGATTTCTATAATTAAGTGATAAAAGTTATCATGTTTACTTTAGATAGGATCTTATTTTATATTCTCAGATTATTGTTTTCTACTTGTGTATTTATTTTCTATTTTATCAAGTAGAGACAAATACCTAACGAATAATTATGATAAGTATATTTTAAATCAATGCAGTGCTGGCATTTACTTGCAACTTTTAGCCGATTTTCAACTTGATACCCGCTCCTTATCTCACCAATCAGCGCACAGTCTAAATATCGATCAGCACGAGGGATGGGATCCAAACTGAAAATCGGCTTAAAGTTGTAAATAAATTCCAGCTTGTTTTAAACTTATGAACAAAAATAAAATAAATAATAACAGTAAAATAAAACCATCATAAAAGTGTGCAACTTTAATACATTTTTGCTTTTAACGTTATTAAATCGCAAGAGATACCTCGTATTAGATTTTATACATATAGCATTTATGTAATTCAATCGTGATTGTAATCAATTTCAATTATTATTGCTATAATGTGAAATGAGATTGCATATGATTATGCTTTGATGGCATGTTTTGATATTGTTATTGAACTAATGCTAGCATTGAAATGATTAAAATCAATTGTACGTAAATCATAATTTTTTTATACGTATATACGATATATAAAACTGTGATTATTTTTTGTACATATTGACACATTTTACACTATATTGTTTAGATATTATAAATGTAAAAAGATTATTAACATGCATATGTGCGTGCGTGCGTGTGTGCGCGCGCGCGCGCGCGCGTGTGTGTGTATATATAATATGTGATAATTACTTTATATTTTGATATCTCTTAATATTTTAATACTTGATTGTAAAACTATATTGCTATACATCGCAATTATCACTTTATAATTAGAAAAATCTGATAGATTTGGTCAATTATTTTCTATATTCCCCGGTCTGCATTTTTTACTTTAGTATTAACGATAAATTAATTATTCCTAAGTAAGTTCACTCATACCAACTTCTCTAAATTTGAATCTGGCGAGAGGAACCGGATAATGTTAAGTAATCTTTGAGATAATGATAGTTAGCATTTAATAGTTTTTCAAATAATAAATGAGTAATGTTAATTTATGCAAATTTTGTAAAATGCACACGTCCCAATGGATCATCACCGACTAACTTTAATACTCAAGATATACCAAAATATGCCCCGGGAAAAATGTTTCATATATAATTATATATAAAATATTATATTTTATAAATATATATGTATAATATTTTATATATAATTATATATAAATATTCATATATATAATTATATAAAATCTTTTTTCCCGGGGCGATAAGAGTATAACCTTTATAAATTCACAATACATATGTAAATTATTTTAAATAGTTTTTATGTTATGTTAGGGTACACAAAATATATTATAATTTCTGTAATAATTCAAAGTGCATTTATATTTTTACTTATATTCCAAAACTTGAATCAGTATTCTCACAAAAATGCATTCTTTTTCAAAACTTTCTGTGTGTGTAATTATTTAAAAAATATATTATTACAATGATAAGATAATTTAACAATTATTTAATACTAATTAAATTACTATTTGCAAATAAATTTGTAGAATATATGCGTAGTGTAGTATAAGTAAAAATAGTTAAAATTGCTTTACTTTATAAGCAAATACAATTTTTTCAATTATAAAAATAACAAGTGCCATAATCGCACCACAGCACATCATCACAATTATTAAAGAAACTTGATGTAATTCAATTGGTTTCGGTTTCTGGTCGTCTTCATACTGTTTAAATTTATTTTTCATCCAACGATCTTTCAATGCGCTCAATAGTCCAACTTCTATTAATTTAAGTATCCTATTTATGAAAATTATTTGTTAATAAATAAAATTATATATCATAGACTATATATAAGATTAGATTTGTTGTTATACAAATTAATTCTGCCATTGGGTAAATATATGTATATCTCAACTATTTATAAAAGTAAAATATCGAATACGTTACTATTAAAAATTTTGGGAATCATAATAATTTATTAATAATAATCAACTTTTTTAAATATTATTTAATAAATAAGTCTTTTTAATTTTTTACTTTTTTCTATAAATTATTCTAAAATTATCAACATATTTAGAATTAAAAAAATTTGAATCCAATTTTAATAAAAATGATAATAAAAATATATAACATTTTAATCTCTTCAAAAGTCTTTATTTTAATTATAGAGATATTCCAATCTCTAATAAATTAAATAATACAATTTTGATAGAAGTTTTTATATATTCAAATGAAATTGTGCGTTTACATAATATGCTGTCGATTTTGAAGATATTAATTTTCACAAAAACTCATCTACATTATTTTATTTTATACAGATGTTTTTTTACCCAACATCGATGGTTCTTTTGTATTTAAAATTCCTTACGATGCCGGAAGTTACCCATGTTCTAATAAATTCTTCTCCAATGTTAATCAAATGACATTTAATCTCGCCATTTACTTTATGCATTTCTTCGTTTTGAAACATGGCATATTTATCTGGCAAGGAGCATATCTTTATATGCATTTCCTGAAGTGTTGATACTACGATTAAGCGATTTGAGTTTTTTGCTCGTACTATTGAATCTGTCGTAAGTACCTATAACATTTAAGTACAGCATTCAAACATTTAAGTTTTATACACAAAAAGCCTCAAACTATTACATATATCAATGAAATATATTAATAATATTAATATGTACCTTAAACAAAGTCTCTCCTATCGAATCTTTCAAAGTGAGAACGCTGAACTTAGTATTATACACCAAAGATTCAAATTTATCAAATGGTGGTACAAAACCACTTTTCGATAAAAACATAAATAACACAGCACCAAATGACGTGCATATCATAGAACAAAATAATCCCAACGATACTTCTAATATTCTCGACTTTCCATTGAGATACTCAGGAATATAGCCTATAGAATATTGCAATTATTTAAATTAATTTTTTCATTATTTTTATTGTTCTCAATATGATAAAATGACGTTTTAATTTGGTTTATATAATTAAATACATATGTATAAATTTTTTGTACTATATTATTATATAATCTGTAACAAATAATGCTCAATTTTTTGCTAATACATACCTTGATTACAGAAGTTTCCAAAGTTGTAAAATATGTGTTCGCTGAAAGACACGTTTTTATGTTTATTTTCATTCTGTATAAAAATATTTTGAGTTAAAAAGGTGCACAGACTTAGTAGTACACACATAATTAGTATAGTGCACCATATTTTCCAACAGAAAATTTTTATCATCCATTCATCATCATATACCACTTCGGGGTGAATATATAATTGAATTCTATGAAATATTTTTTAATTATGAACCAATACCTTATTTTGTAACGTAATTATCTATTAAATTATTAAACTAAGATTTAAATAAATGTAAAATCAAATAAATATTTAAAAAGTTTAATAAATTAAACTAACCTATTTATCCAAAAAGGTACTGAAAATTCGGTAGCCACAAGTCGCGATATAAATGTTTCTAACTTTGGTATTGCCATAGTTTCATTGCGAAAAATAATACCTAATAATCCGTTTTTAAAAGATCTGTCTTTTTCTGGCATACCTAAATCATTTACATTTGCTTTCATTGGTTGTAATCTAAAAATATGAAATATCCATTTATTTTATGTTATTAATGTAAGATGTTACACTATAATAATCTATTTTTGCGATGTGAGATATATGTGTGGTCTTACGTAAAGTTTAATGATTCCGAAAGTAGATTCCATATTTCCCCACAGAGTCCCGTAATTTTTGTATTGTTATTATAAAAATGAAGAAAATGCGGCTCCTGAAATGTACGTACAATTCTTCATACGTCAACAAAATTATACAACTCGTTAACTTATAATTCTTAATATACCGTTATTTAGTAAGTAACATTTATTGCCAACAAAAAGTATCGTACATATTCGACAATGTGGAAATAAATATTCTTTATACTATTATTAATTTATATCATCATATTGTAAAATCTTAAAAAATAAATCCTAGTTAAAACTAAATTACTATAATTTTGTTATTAATTAATTATATCAATTATCTAATCTTTATTATAAATTTCTAAAAATCTTGTTTCTTAATACTTATATTTAGAAAAGATAATAATATCGGATATTTTTTATAAGAGTGTACCTGAAAAGATGTTAAAGTAAAGTTTTGTAGTTGAAAATTGTGGATCTCGAGTGCTCGACTTTGTTTGAAGCGTTCTTGTTGCATTATCGCATAAGTCGACACGCTGGAAATTGGCACAAAAGTCTTTTGCGTTTTGCTCCAAATCACACCATTCATTGTCGTAGACGATTGTAAAATTCTATTTAATGAAACTAGAAGTAACGGTCATCTTATATGGACGCATTGTTATAAAGCATTACAAAGATTTACAAGATTGTTGCTTAGTAAATAACGCGATTTGAAATTTTATGTATTTTTTACAAGTTAACATATTATTTTCGATCAATATTTAAAAAAAAATCGAAGTAACTTATTATCATGATCGGATTGATTTCTGTGATTAGAAGAAAAAAAGACGTATGCCATTATGTTACGTTAGATAAAGACTGCGATCGATTTGGACGCTTTTAACGCTTTTTAGTATTTTTTATTTTACGTCTAATGAAAAATAAAGACAGAATGATGATTACAAGCGTTTAAAGCACGTGAGCGTCCAAATCGATCACAGCCAAGATCTTGCCTTACATTTTCAAATTATTATTATCTATTTTTAGTATATTTTTTATTTTTTATGGAATGTAAGCAATACATGAAAAAGTAATTATGCCGTCATATTTTAAATTTAATAAAAGTGAAATTAGTAAAGAGTTGTATTTAAAATACATATAGAAATATTATTCCAGTATATAACTTTGACCATAATTGGCATTTAATTTTTTTAGTTGGTGTATTGATATAAGTGTTCTCGTTTTAAACTTAATGTGAAAATAAGTAATAACAATAATAAAATAGAACTATGGTGAAAGAATACACCTTTTAGCTTTATTAAAATGCAGGAAATATTCTATATTGGATTTTATATTGCGTTTATATATATAAGTATATATCTAATTCTTCCGTGACTAATCATTAAATTATAATGCGAAATGCGATCGTATGACTACTTTATGCTTTGATGGCATGTTTTGATGTCATTATTAAACTAAATGCAATCGACAAAATGATTAAAATCATTTTTACGTATGTCGTGATTTTTTTATATAGATACAACTAATGGTTTTATATATCGATTTTAAATAATATATGTATTACTTATATATTGTAAATATAAAGGATTTATCATTTATATATAAATTATAAAAGAATAGAAGAAATAAACTCTAAAAAAGAGGCAGTAAACAAATTTGACAATCAAATTTTGTTATCCTTTTTGCGTTCATAGCAGATTTTTTAATTTTTTCTGTCTGTGTATATTGTAACTTATTATAATATGTTGACAAAAAAGTATTATAAACAAACGGCTCAAATAATGGACAATTTTTGAATTATGGTTCATTAAAGGTGCTCTGTGAACAAGTTTCTAACTTTTTATATATATTATAGGACAGATAAATTTATTATAGCAATTAAGTTTATAATTTATAGAATATATTCATTTATAGAATATATTCATGTGATAGAGTATAAGTAAAAATAATAAAAATGACTAACTCTTTAACTGATAACGAGCGACGGCTAAAACTTGGAGGTCACTCAGGGTCATGATCTTGATAACATATATCAAGGTCAAGGTCATTGGAGGGAGGTCTCTTAATCTGGAGTATTACCAAAATTGTTTTAATTTGTAAAAAAATAAAATTTTTTCAATTACTAAGGTTGAACCTATCAAATGATAGCACGAAAACACTTTTAGATAGATATATAAATAACACAGCACCAAATGACACACATGTATATTATAGAACAAAACAATCCTAATAATACTTCTAATATTCTCGATTTTTTTATCAAGATATTCGAGAATATAACCTGTTGCAATAATTCAAATTGTAATATAATGACTTTTAACTTTTAACATAATGACTTTTGACTTTTTTATTATTATTGATATAATTTTTATATTATAATTATGTTTTATATTATATTTCAATAGTCTTTAATATTTATTATCTAAATTCTAAATATTGTAATTAATATCTTTTACACAGTTTTAAATTTAAAAATTATCATAAGCATTAAAGAACTAATTCCCAAATCATGCTACTTCTAACTCTAAAAATCAAATATTTTAATATATCAAATAATTGCAATTTTATTTTAACGCGATGTTTAGATTTATCTCAATGCAAAGCAATTTCTAACAAAAATGAGCAATATTTTTATCAGTTATTTACACACATTTATTTTTACACACACCTTGATTGCACAGGTTTCCAAAGTTATAAAATAAGTGTTCGCTGAGAGATATATTTTTATGTTTATCTTCATTCTGTATGAGAATACTTTGTGCCAAAAAAGTGCATAGACTTAATAGTAGAGACATACTCAATATAACGCATATTTTCCAAGAGAAAATTTTTACCATCTATATATATTATCATATATCGTTTACTATTTATACATTATCATATATCATATATTGTTTTACGGTGAATATATAATTAAATTCTACAAAATTATTTTTAAATTATGACAATTATCTTATCGATCCTATAACTTAATTGTTACTAATAGCTACCACAACATTGCAGTTTGAATAAATGTTAATTCAGATAAACACTTAAGAAGCTTAATAAATTAAGCTGTTTGTCCAAAAAGGTATTGAAAATTCGGTAGCCATGTTCCGGTGAAAAGCTTTGTAGTTTTGCGATAGTTTCATTGCGAAAAATATGATAATAGATAATAATCCGTTTTTAAAAGACAAGACATCTTTTTGTGGCACATTCTGGTCATCTAAGTTTGCTTTCATTAGCTGTAATCTAAAAATATGAGATATTTTTTCATTATTTTATATTATTAATTATGTTAAAGTGTTTAATCTCCCCAGATAACATTTTGCCGGCATTTTATTGAAAATTTACTTAAAAATTGCAAGCCATTTGCCAACAAGGTAAGTTCAATGAAGATGATTCGATGCAGTATTGCGAGCAAAGAAACACACAAACTGTAGTAGAGTAAATTTACAGTAACTTTGCTGCAACAATTATAGTAAAAATGTTTGATGATAATATTTCGGCAAAATTGAAGAATTTTGTTTATCATCAAAAGTAAATACAAATATTAATTTGGCAAAATTATGGCTACATGCAAGCAAAATTTTATTTAGCAAATGCTATTATCATGGCAACATTACGACAACAGATTTCAGCAAATAAATTACACTGTTTTACTTTTGCACGAAATGTTATCTGGGTCACAATGCAATATTCTGTTCTTGCGATGTGATACGTGATGTATTCTTACTATACATAAAATTCAGCGATTCGGAAAATAGATTCCATATTTCCTCACAGAATCCTGTAATCTTTATATTATTGTCGTAAAAATGAACCAAGTACTGCTTTTTTGAAGTAGCATTAATTTTTAATTTAAAAATATCATAGATATTCCAATGTAAAAATAATTTCTCAAACTATAATTATTGCCATATTTGTAATCTTTAAGAAATTCTACCCATGTAGCAAGTATACGTCACTTTGATGTTTGATTTTGGCCTAAAGTTTAGTTATCTTGTTTAATGTCTTGATTTTGCCAGACATAATGCTGTTTCGAATATTTATTTATTTATATTTATTACATAATGAAAAAATAATAATTAATAATAATTATTATTATTAAATATGACGCAAAAATAATATTTTTGTTATATATCATGTTAAATTGATATTAGTATATCATTAGATACTAGGTTTGTCTATGTCATGATTTAATTAATTAGTATGAAATACTGAAAAAATGATCTTAAATTGACATTATAATGATGATTCTACTTAGATATTACGATTAAAAATAAATTTTTGTTAGAGTAAACTTTGCAACCATTATTATATTTTATTGCATGTATACATTTATTGTTTAAGATAAATTATAAATACAGTTGGTAAAACAATAAATATAAATAAACAGAAAACTAACAATAAAAGAGAAAGACTTATTTTTAGTTAATTAAAAAAACGCATAAATTAGGAATCTGCACTGTAATTGGTGCGCTTAAATAACTAACAGACCTAATTGAAATCTAAAAATATATTTTACATTAATGAATATATATCCATTAAACGTTTCGGCTAAATTGTAGGCCTTGCCTTCTTCAGAATGGAAAATCGATGAACTAAGTTTTGTTATATGATTTGCACACGTAGGAATCTTTAGTTAATATCCAATGCAAACATGTATTATCTCATGGCTAGTTAGTATATTGAAGTCTCATGCAAATTGATGCAGATTGAGACCTCAGGAATACGTACGCAGAAGAATGACATCAGCTCAGTATAAAGTCCGAATAAAATAACATAATGCAAAATAAAATGTGTGATCATAACAAGTCGAAATAAAATATGTATATACATAAGCATCAATTATATTGGGTTGTCCGGAAAGTCCGTACGGATACGCACGAACTTTCCGGACCACCCAATAGCATCGATTCCTAATTGTCCTAATTTACTCATTTTTTTAATTTAATTTTAATGCAAGGAATTTTATTGTAATTTATACTTATTTTTAGATTTTAATATTAATGTAACATTACAGCGCAAGATCAAAATATTATGTCATAATAACGTAAAATAATGTCTTCAATAAGGCATCATTAAAATGACGTCCATATAATTGAATAATCATTTTTTGTTTACTTGACATCATTAGTACGTAAATTCCTATTTGAAGTTAAAATATCGTGTACATACTTCCTGGATTGTTAAAATTAAAAATACTACTTATTATTAAGGAAGTCTCCTACATTAAGAAATCGAAATCCTTCGTAATTTTTTTTTCAAAAGGAAAATTAATGTTTATCAATTTCAAACTTTTTGCACGTTTTAATATAACTATTGTAGAGTACGTACAAATTTTTATGTAAAAAAAGTATTATAAATAAAAATATAAACATTTCGTTTGGCGCTTTGTCACGACGTTACGATCTTATGTACATTCTAGCGACTGTAAATTCTTGCTAGAACCCCCAAAAAATAAAAAAATATTTTTATTTTTATAGAATATATCATCTTAAATAAAATAAACCTAAACAATTAAAAAAATGTATATAAATTAAAATTTTGTGCAACTTTTAAAAAAGTAACGATTTTCACTAGGTAGCAACCATTTGTTTATGCAAA